GTAGTGTGACCCTTCAGTCCTTGAGTGAGCCTCTCCGGGTGTCACAGGTGTCCTCAGTCAGGTTGGCCGTTTGGCTGTCACCTCTGCCACCCTGTGCTGAGAACCAAGGTGCAGAACCCCTTGGGAGTTGGTAGTTTGACCCCAGTGAGGGCGGGCAGCTCCTCCTCCCTGCACAGTGCAACTCTGCAGCAGTAGGGTGACCTTGAATTTCTTTCTGAGCACAGTGGGAGGTCACCTGTTTGGGATTTTTCTCACCACTCCAGGGATAAACAGAAATGGTGTGCAAATGAGTCACACACATGAAAGAAGGTGTGGCAATATCCTAGGCCCCAGGTCACAGTAGTTTTTATTCCAATTACCTACTTTTTTCTTTTGTGACTTACCTACACTCTGGTGTTATGTCTTTTTTTGTTGTTTTTTTTTGGTACGGGGGATTGAACTCAGGTCCTTTCGCTTGTGCAGCAGGCAGCGAAACCACTGAGCTAAATCCCCAGCCCCAATGGTGTTATGTCTTTTTAAGAAATGATTGCTTAGGGGCTGGGGATTTAGCTCAGTGGTTCTGCTGCCTGCCTCGAAAGCGCAAGGTCCCGAGTTCGATCTCTGATATCAAAAAAAAAAAAAAGAAAATGATTGCTTAATCCAAGGTCATGATTTATTACTTCTAGGTTTTCTTCTAGAGTTAGCTGTCACTATTAGGGCCATTTGAGTTCATTTTTGTGTGTAGTCTAAGGACAGGGAGTGTGTGGGTGTCTGTGTATGTTACCGGGGATTGAACCCAGGGCTTTTGCATTGAGCAACATCCCCAGTCTCCTTTTATTTTGAGACAGGGTCTCCCTAAATTACTAAGTTGCCCAGGCTGGGCTCGAATTTGCAATCTTCATGCCTCACCCTCAGAGTGCTGGAATTATGGGCTTGTGCTACCACACCTGACTTCCCATAACTTTTCTTACACTTCCACCTTTGATTTTAAAAAATATTTTTTCTGACTATAGAATTCTAAGTTGACTTTTTTTTTTTCTTTCAGTACTTTAAAGATGTTGTTTCATGGTGCATGCCTGTAATCCTGGTGCTCCCGAGGCTGAGGCAAGATGGTTATAAGTTTAAGGCCAAGCTGGACTACATATAGCAAGACCTTGTCTCAAAACAGACAAACATAGAGAATGTTGTTCCACCATCATTTTACTTGCTCTGTTTACAGTGGGGACTCTGAGGGCTGGGGATTTAGCTCAGTGGCTCCACCGCCTGCCTCACAAACGAAAGGTCCTGAGTTCGATCCTGGGTACCAAAAAAAAAGAAAATACAGTGAGGACTCTGATGTCATAGTTACCTTTGTTCCTCTCTATATAACATGTTTTCTCCTGTGGCTAGATTTAAGATTTTCTCATTATCACTGGTTTTGAGCAATTTAATTATGATGTGCTTTAGTGTAATTTTGTTCACATTTCTTATGCTTGGAGTTTGTTGAACTTCTTGAATCTGTGGGATTTTTTTAAAGAAAATTATTAGAAATTTTTCTTCCCATTTGCTCATTTCTTCATATCTCTAACCTCTTCTCCAATTACTAGCTGCTTGAGGTGGTCCCACTGTTCTCTGATACTCTTCCTTTCTATAATTTTTTCCTGTGTTTCATTTTGAATAATTTTTTCAGGTTAACTAATTCTTTGTTTGGCCTGTATAATTTGCCATTAATCCTATCATTGGATTTGTCATCTCATACATTGTAGTTTTTGAGCTAGAAGTTCAATTTGAGTCTTTTTTTTCCTATTTTATGTGTCTCTATTTTTTTAACATAAGGAAACAGTTATAACTTTTAAGATCTGTATTTACTAATTTGTTCATCTTTGTCAGTTCTTAATTTCAATTGGTTGATTTAACTCTTCATTATACACCATATTTTACTGCTACTTTGCATGCCGGATAATTTTTGTTTGGATAGCCAGATGTTGTGAATTTTACCTGGTTGAATGCTAGCTTTTTTTGTATTCTTGTAAATATCCTTGAGCTCTGTTCTGGAACGTAGTATCTTAGGAACAGTTTGATCCTTTCAGCTCTTGCTTTTAAAATTAGTTGGCACGACCAGAGCAGAGCTTGGTTTGAATTATTCCCTGCTAATAAAGCAAGGGAACTGTAACTGGTATTCCATGAATCCAGCTAAAGAGTCTTAACTTGAAAATTAAAACAAAAAACATAAAGTCTATAAAAATACTACAATAAAGTATTTTTATTTTCTTAGACTTAGGGAAAGGCCTTTCTAAGCCAGACATAAAATCTGGAAACCGTAAGAGAAATAGTTCTCAGATTTGATTACACAAAAATTAAAGTTCTCTGAATATCAAAGCAAAAGGAGGCTGGGGATTTAGCTCAGTGGTTCTGACACCTGCTTCACAACCGCAAGGTCCCGAGTTCGATCCCCAGTACCAAAAAAAAAAGAAAGAAAGAAAGAAAAAGAACAAAGCAAAAGGAAATCACAGACTGGAAGAAAAACTTTGTTGTTTTTTTTTTTTGCACTGGGGATTGAACTCGGGACCTTGCACTTTCGAGGCAGGCGCCAGAACCACTGAGCTAACTCCCCGGCAGAAAAACAATATTTTAAAAAGGGGAAAGAAGTTAATGTCTAGAGTACATAAAAAGTAAGTCAGGCATGATGGTACACACCTGTAATCTGGGCATCAAGGAAGGTTGAGGCAGGAGGGTTACAGGTTCAAGGCCAGCCTGGGCAATTTAGCAAGACCCTGTCTCAACAACAACAACAAATGAAAAGGGCTGGGACATAGTTCAGTGGTAGAGCACCCTTGGTCCTCAGTAGTATAGCAAAAAAAAGCAACACATCTTTATTTATAAGAAAAAGGTAAACAAACTAAGAACAGGCAATTTATGAAGGAAAAAATACAAAAGGCCAATAATTAAATGAGTAGTATTCACCCCTAATCACAAAATAATAAGCTCTACTTCTCACTTATCAGATTTGTTAAGAGTAGAAAAGACTACTAATGTCCATTGTTTTGAGTACATGAGCCTGAGTCTAAAATGGTAGGTGGGGCCTCCTGGATGGCAGATTGGTAATATCTAACACAATTTAAATTGTATTTCCTGCTTGAGCAGTAATTTCATTTCCAGAATTCATTTATTTTATAGAAATACTCATATATGCACAGAGAGGCCAGGGATGTAGCTCAGTGGTTTTGCCGCCTGCTGCGCAAGTGCAAGGACCTGAGTTCAATCCCCGGTACCAAAAAAGAAGGGAGAATACTATATGCACAGAGTTCTATGCCTAAGCTTTGTTTTGTAATTAAAAACAAAACACAGGAAACAGTGTAAGCCAGGGGTGGTGGCATGTCCCTGCTGTTCCAGCACTTGAGAGGCTGAGGTTGGAGGATCACCTGAGCTTAAGAGTCCGAGACCAGTCCTGGCAACATAGCAAGACCCTGGCTCTAAAATAAGGGAAACAATCCAGTCTCATGTCCACTAACACAGGAACAGAAGAGTGGTGGCATACATCTGTAATCCCAGATACTCAGAAGGCTGAGGCAGGAGGATCGGGGCTCCAGTGCCAGGCTGGACAATTTAGAGAAACTGTGTCAAAATAAAATAAAAACAGGAATGGTGATATAACTCAGTGGCAAAGCACTATCAAGTACTGTGAATCTGAGTATGGCAGCACACATTTCTTCTCACATGTAGTGCAGGCTGGCCTTGAACTCACCATGTAGCCCAGGCTGGCCTTGAACTTGCAGCGATCCTCCTGCCTCAGCCCTGAGTGCTGAAATTATAGGCATGTGCCACCATGCCCGGCTGCACACACTTGTAATCCCAGTACCCTTGGAGGCTGAGACAGGAGGACCACAAATTCAAGCCTAGCCTGGGCAACTTAGTGACTTGGTGAGACCTTGTCCCCAAAAATGGAAGATGTCACCTGCTGCACAAGCGCAAGGACCCAAGTTTGATCCCTGGTACCAAAAAAAAAAATGCAAGATGTGCTTGCTTTGGCACACATACACTAAAAAAATAAAAGATGTATCTCAGTACCAAAGCCCTGGGGGGGGTGTGTGTGTGTGTGTGTGTGTGTGTGTGTGTGTGTGTGT